TACAATACTTGGTGTTGAGAAGAAAGAGTATATCAGATAAGAAATGTTCGAGAGAAAGGGAAAAGACATTTTTTATATCTATCAAAGGATTTGTTGAAAGGGGTGCATAGGTACTTTCCTTCCTCATTCCCTCTCCCTTATCATGTCCCTCTGTTCCAAAAGACGAGACTTGTAACAATTTCATCTTTGTTTTTAAGACTTATTATTGTAACTGTATTAAAGGAGAACTTGACTTCACTTATATGCTAGAAAAAGACGTTAATGGTTATCTAACAACTGAGCTTTATGATAAACGTGATGACTTTAACTATTCTATCGTCAACTTCCCTTACCTAGGCAGCAATATACCCTTATCACCTGCAAATGGGGTGTATATCTCTCAGTTGATTCGATACGCAAGAGCATGTTCTACTTATGAACAATTTCTAAAACGATATAAATTATTGAGAAACAAGTTGATGAAACAAGAATATCAACAGTCTCGTTTAAAGTCATCAATTCGTAAGTTCTATGGTCGATACAATGACCTTGTCGGCAAATACAATCTATCATTAAGTCAAATGCTGACTGATGCTTTTCATACAAATTGTTAGGATATTATTTACCTACTGAATTGTCGACAGATTTTCCCGTTATTTCCCGATCATGACAAGGAGCACACGGTTCATGTGACTGGTCGGCAGGGGATGCTCGTTCCTCCATGGCACCTGATCCCACCTCTGATGTTTTTGGATGTCCTTGTATGCTCTGCTCCCGATTTGTATTGCTTGAATGGACTTTGAGCTTGAATACTGTTCGTTATCTCCATATTTCATTACCGTATGTCTGGAAAACCCGTAGGTTACTTTCTAAGGATGAAACACGCATAGAACACAGACCCTCAGAAATTTCAGAGGAGGGATCAGGTGCCTAGGAGGAGTAATCAACACCTGTCGACCAGTCACATCAAATGTGAGCCCTATATATATATATATCTATATCTATATATATATATATATATATATATATATATATATATATATATATATATATATATATATATATATATATATATATATTGATCAGATAGATGGAACATTCTATGGTCATTATAATGACCTTGTGAACAAATATATGGGAAGTTTTTTAGCTGGCGTGTTTCATACCAATCGTTGGGCCTTTGTTTTCACACTAAATTTTCCTACGGAATAATCAATACCTAGGGCTCACAACGGTTGTGACCTGATCCTGAGCACCTGATCCCACCTCTGGAATTCCCGGGGGTCCGTGTTTTATGCACTTTTTATAAATTTGTATTCTTCGTAGATTCTTTTTAGATCGATCAGTATCTTCACCTTTCTCAAATTTAGTATAAAAAAGTTACGAAATATGTCAGTCAAAGCGATCTAATTATATGTTATATTTGCTAACAATGTCATTATAACGAGCTTGTTGAAATCCCTGTAGCATAAACTTTTTTGTCATTATACTTCCTCGGTTTAAACTTGATCGTACTAAGATCATGCTCTTCAGAATAGCATAAGATCGGAGACATTAACACCATATACAAGTTATAGTGGAATACGGTGTCTTTTATTTTGAGTTCAAGGCAAATACTATAACCTTGCAAATATCTTTTGATTGGTTGGAGCTATAGCTTTCATATTTCAGTTGTATTCCTTTTGACAAGACCTTTCTTTGGGTACCAGCTGTTTTGACCTTGACCTTTGAGTTTTACCCAGTTTTTTTTTTAAATTTTACCAAATTTTTACATTGGTCATAACTTTTGAACGATTGGCACTAGGGCATGCACACTTCACATGTGTATTCCTGTGAGAAGACCTTTTCTTGGGTACAAATATTTTTAACCTTTTCACCTTGACCTTGGAGTTTAACACTTTCAAAAAACTTTACCCTTTGTCATAATTTATGAATGGTTAGCGCTAGGGTTTTCATATATCACATTTATATTTCCTGTGAACTTTGGCCATACCTTTTGAACAGTTGGGCTTTCATATTTCACATGTATATTTCTTGTAACAAGATCTTTCTTTGGGTACCAACAGTTATGACATTTTCCCCTGACGTTGACGTTTGACCTACTTTTGAAAAATTTCAATCTTATTCATAACTTTTGAAAGGTTAGTGCTAGGCCTTTCATATTTCACATGTGTATTTCTTGTGACAAGACTTTTCTTGGGCACCATTAATTTTACCCATTTGACCTTGACCTCGACCTACTTTTGAAAAACTTTAAGCTTCGTCATAACTTATTAATTGTTGGTGCTAGGGCGTTCATATTAACAAGTACATTTCTCGAGACAAGAACTTTCTTTTGGTGCCGACACCTTTTTTTATCTTTTGACCTTGGAGTTTCTCCATTATTGCTGTAAATATTTTAGTAAGGAGTAAATACCATCCTCAATGGGTGAAAGCATTACCCTCCTCAATGAGTAAAAGCATTACCCTCCTCAATGAACGAATGTGTTACCCTTCTCAATGGGTGAAAGCATTGCCCTCCCTAATGAGTAAAAACGTTACCCTCTTCAATGAAAGCGTTACCCTTTTCAATGAGTAAAAGCATTACCCTCCTCAATGGGTAAAAGCATTACCCTCCTCAATGAGTGAAAGCGTTACCCTACTCAATATGTGAAAGCATTACACTCCTCAATGGGTGAAGCACTACCCTCCTCAATTGGTAAAAGTATAACCCTCCGCAATGGGTGAAAGATTTACCCTCCTCTTAACATTCCCCTCCTCAATGGATAAAAGCATTACCCTCCTCAATGGATAAAAGCATTAACCCTCCTAAATGGATAAAAGCATTACCCTCCTTAATGAGTGAAAACATTACCCTCCTCAATGGGTGAAAGCATTACCTTCCTCAATGGGTACCCGTAAAAGCATTACCCCCCTCTATAAGTGAGTGTTACCCTCCTTAATGGGTAAAAGCATATACTCCTAAATTCCTAAATGAGTGAAAGCTTTACCCCCCCCCCCACCCACCCCCACCCCACCGACTATCCTAAATGAGCGAGTATTATCCTCCTCAATGAGTGGTAGGGATACCTTCCAGCATTGCCCTCCTTAATGACTGAAAACGTTACCATCCAGCATTACCCTCCTCAATGAGTGAATGTGTAACCCTACTCAATGAGTGAAAGCTTTCTCCTCCTTTATGAGTGAAAGATTTATTCTCCTTTACGAGTGGAAGCTTTAAACACTGCATCCTGTTAGTAAACGATTTTCCTCAAAATTAATAAAGGCATGAATGAATAGATGACACAGATTTTGTGAGGCGATTTTTTTATTAGCTCACAAGACTATCAAAATCTTTAGAAAGTGTTTTAAACATAACGTCTTGTATTTCATTATTTTCATCTAATCTTTTTTTACATGGTAAAATTAAATTTATATTCATTTTCAGGTTAACTCATTTTTTAAAACTTTTAATATAGATATATAAGCATAAATTTGTGAAGAATGCAAAAATAAGGATGTCTGAAGAGGAAAACTTCATTTTGATCATGTAACTTGGCAAAAATAAAGCCTGAATAACTTACAAATTTCTATAACATATTTTTATAAGTAAGCCATAACCTGAATAAGCAACAACTTCATTACCCAAATGTTTCTGATCCACTCACAAAGTTATATACATGTAGATGTACAAGATTTTAAACCTTGTCCTTTTCATTTCACTCATATAATGCATTTTATATTTGTTCTTCTGGCAGTTTTATAATGAAGCCCTCAGATCCCCCCAACTCCAACTCTTAAAGTCCTCTGACTGACACAATATCAATTCTGTCTCCCTCAGTAAAACACAGGAAAATTTTCTTTTACCACTTTAATGAGTTGTTTATAATGATGTGGATATTATCATCATGATATATAAATATACAATATACACAGGGAGGTCTATTGATAAATAATTCCCCATCAACTACTTCATCAATAAATCAAAAGCTGTCATTTTAAAATCACATCTGTCACATGACTTGAATTAAGCGACCTACTCAGATTCCCAACACATCTTGATCTATGCAGAGCACCCTAAACAATAGAAGGTCTTCAAATTATTTCTGCATTTTTAATACAATTCTAGCATCTACAACTTACAACTTTGATTAAGAAGATAATTCTCTTCACATGAAATATAATACCTTTTTAAGTTACAAGCATTCTACTGTTTATTGCACATGAGGTTTAACTTTGTATACAATATTCTATGTAATGGTACCAAACATCACATCTAGATATAATAACTTGCTCCTGTCAAATATGATTAAACCGAAGACAGCTTTATGGAAATCCAAGAATTTGACACTATTTTGTACTGAAAAGACAACTATCAACTTACTTTATTTTGATCAGAATGATATCATAGTTTTAATAATTTTACCCAAGTTCTTGTGACTGGCACCCACTTGTATTTCCTTTCATCATCCATTAAATGCACCCTTTCCAAAAAAGTTATCTGAATAGGAAGGGTTTTAATGTGGACATTATTCCCTGCCTATATTAACATATGTACATGTGGTTTCCTCTTTTATCATCAACCATGATAATCAATGCACCATGAAGAAGCCTTAAATTTATAATTCCAACCACAAATTGCCTACTATTATCATGTAATAATTACTTTCCCATTAGTGATTGTTGATTATGGATTGAGAAATTTACCATTCATACACTGAGTATTCATTGTTGTACACGATAAATACATTTTTTAAAAATATTTCCTAGGAAAATCTGCCACAACAAAAAAGAGAAATCACATGTTTCTAAAAAATAATCTTACTTAAGAAATTTAACATTTACTTGGTTTAAATTCATTCTTAAAGTTAACTGCTTCAACAAACATTATGCTTTTCTTTCAGAATTTGTCACCATATTGTCTCCATAATAAGAGAGTCAACTTAAAATTTAAAAAACAACACATACATGTACAGTACATGAAAACGTTCATATTTGTGAAACTCCATATTCATATTTGTGAAACTCCATGTTCATATTTGTGAAACTCAACTTCTTATATACTGAAAACTCTTGAATATTCATAAACCTTTGACAAACTGAACTAAACTAGAACTCATACACATACAACTGTAGCTCATCATGGCAGAATGCACCATCAGTGTTTTAAACATGCATACACTCTTCACACAAGTATCTGCTAAAAAGAGGTTTCCTTAATAATTTAGGTAAATATCTGCATGTTAAATGGAATGTATAATACCTTGGACAATGTGATAATGGCAACAGTTACATATATATATAAAAACTGAAGCACTTCATTTAACCTGTATCCACCTTTTATACTTTGCTGCATATTCCATGAGTACCCCCTCCCCTCCTCAAATAGTCTATGCTATATTATGAAAGTGATCACCATTTAGTGTGGTATGCACATGGCATTTTATCACATTCTATGATTCAATGCCCAAAACAATCAACAAAAAGCAATATGTAATGCATTTTGAGAAATAAAACCTATGTTGAGAGTCTAGGGGAACATGTAGAGACCAAAAAAATATATATTACAAACATAAGACATTTACATGTACATTCGCAAATTATTTTTCCCTAAAGCTGACATTTAATGCTTTTAAAGTATTAATTTAGGAATTTAAAAGTTAAAACACACAACCCATGATACTTTTCCTGATCATACTCACAAACTTTTACACAACTTAACACATCACTAGAAAGAAGACCATCATTATTTTCTACATTACCTCTACTCTAGCACAGTATCAAACACAAGACACAAGCTAATTACAACAGCCTAATGATTTCGGTCTTCTTTCTCTCTCATTTGCCTGTACAGATTATCTCCCTTTACACAGTCTTCTGTCTATCACATGGTCTGCTCTCTTGGGTATGCACTAAAATTGATGTTCCAATAAATCTGCTAGGATATTTGGTACAGGGGGTTTGCTAGCACGTATTGTTAACCTGTACATCTGTAAAATGCAACAAAACCCATGGCTTCAAAAATTGAATCTATGAACAACAAAATGCATGCATTTTGGGGTCAACTCAGATTAAATGGTACATGTATTTGGCATGATCAGAATATTTTAAGCATAAATACTGAACAGACTTTTATAGACCCATATAACATAAAGAATCGGCTGTAGCAAAATGCTTTATGTGTACTTTAAATAGCAGACTTCATATTTTAGGCTTTGTGCCAAAGACGCTCTAACATGAAGCCAACTATTTAAAGTACACTTACAGTACAACAATGTGCTAATTCATGAATATATTTAATAAATCGTTAATAAATATAATACATAGCGCAGCCTTATGTAGCGTTAATTCACGATTACGTTAACAACTCAATACCCAGTGATTGCGCTAAATTTTGAATTTGAATTATCAATTTATGTACACATACAGTAGTCTAGGCATTAACTGAGCAAACAATCCATTACCTGGGCAGCTTTATTTGGTTCTAGTCGAATGAGACAGCCAATCTGGGCTGATCTGGTGTGAATAATTCCAGCAGCTACATAGTTTTCTGGGTTAGGGTCGATTCCTTCCAAGACACTCACTCCAAATCCCAAGATCTATTACAAATGTGTAAAAAATCAGACATCTGATATGGAATTATTGCAATAATATATCTACATCACATTTGCAAACACTATGAATGAAAATAAACTCAGAAAATGACTGATATGACTATAAAAGCACAGTCTGTATGCTTACTTTAGTCTTGTTCTGTTCAGAGTCTATTGGAAATTTGGCTTTAAACACTTTCTGACATTCTTGATTAGGCCTACAAAGAGAAGCACAACATCTTTTCATTTTAAATATCCAAGTGTCCACTTTGTATCAGAGAAGAAAATGACAAATGAAGTTCAGTTATACAACCTGTTAGATTTATTTGACATTCAACCTACTGTGAAAGGGCCTTCCATCTGGAGAAAAATGTGGCAGAATCCATTTCAACGGGCTCCGAAAATTTGCTACACATTACTGGAAGCTTTAGTTTCAATTTCTGAGAATTACCATTACACCTAAAACACATACATAGTTTCCTATAACCTGCTTCAGATTCTAATACAAGTATTTATGTATAAAACACTCAGGTACAACAATTTACACAAAACAGAGTCTGTTTTGAGGAAGAGTGCCCCCTTTACTTACGTGAAGGAGATAGCCAGAACAGGAGCCTCTGCAAACTCGGTAATACATTCAATATTGATAACCTGTTGGACCTGAGCTCCACTATCTATCGTGGTATCTACAGGCTTTTGTGTACATGTGATCTGTAAACTGCTGTTAAGGCATCTACTTACATGTATCTAAAATCATTCAATAAGAAACTTTGTTTTCCCTTGACTTTAAACACAAAATTATTAATACAGGTACTTAATTCCTAAAAATTCTATGTACTTAGTACATTTTCTCAATCTTACATCTGATGACAACCTTTGCTGAAGAATGATCACAATGAAAAACTGATTCCAATGTTTTCATGAATATTATAGAAAACTCATGATAATTATTTACTTTATCAAGAGTTGAGATATGTGTACATATATTGTACATGTATTTGGAAGTAAATTAACTTCAGTATGATTACTCTGATATGCCTTCCTCAAGTTATTTGCCCACTTAACAAGGATATCCAAAACACATTGGGAGGGGTATATACAGATCACTCCAGAAATATTAAAGCATTTTGGGGGGTCAAAAAGACAATTTTGAACTTGAAATAACCATTAACACTCCATGCCATTTTGGATCTTACCGAGATGCATCATTTCATGAAGTTTCATGATGAATTGATGTAAAATAAGAGAGTTCTAGGCTTTTTTTGAGAAAGTGTGACTCCTTCCCAATAGAAATGGCTGAACAGACTGTGGACCAAGTCATACCTATGTGTCTGTAATTTTAGACAGTCTGAATGATCACTTTTGAACTCATTCCTGTTTCTGTTTTTCTATAAGGACTGTATCAGATGAATATTTTTGTTCCTTGTAGATAACTTCTATGTAAAGGATATGAGAACCAAGCTCTCCTGGACATTGTGTGTCTACACTAAATCCACTGAACTGAAATGAGGTTTTGTTGCCGTAGAATATCCCCAGTCTCCCAAGGTTCTGTCGGTATTCAGACTTCACTCCAATTTGTAGAAGGTCATTTTCAAATAATACTCCATTATTTTTACAAATAAATCTGGAAAAAATAAGCAAATTTGCTTTATTCTGTAATACATGTATCATCTTACTTAAAACAAGAGGCCCAAGGGCCTTAACGGTCACCTGAGTATAATACAACGATTCAGAACTTAAATACACTGACAGATGAAGCTTTGTTGCCCTAAAGCAAGAGAAGTAGGAAGATCAGGATCAACAAAATAATTAGTCTAGTATTCAGTATCAACTCATAAATTAAGTTCTAATCTGTCCCCCACTTAACACTATCATCATTCAGACGATTAACAAACTATTAGTGCTTCTATACTATTTTTAAACTCATATTAAGACCTCTAGCATTGACCTCTCTTATGGTCTTTGAAGAACTTTTAATAAGATGAGTTATTTTTGTCTCATTTTTATTTATCTATTACTTACAGGTCTACCTGATTATTAAAACTAAGAAAATACTTTTTGAATTATATGATAAACATTCTTGCATAATTATCTTATTCTATTAACCTTTCAAATACACTATTAACAGTGATTAATTATCAAAGGTGAATGGAAAAGGGGAATAACTTCTCTCAGTAGAATACAAATAAATAGAGCCCTGCCCAGGACTAGAATGCTTAGACAAATGGTCCAGATGTTCAAAAATCTGGTAGAAATACATTTACTTATATCATTTAAACTTTTACTCAGTTTTCTTCCGATATACCCAGAAGCAGAGAAGAATTTCACAGGTACAATGCATTTTCACTACAGATTCAACAAAGCCTTACCCTAACACCAGAACCCAAGACCAAGGGTCAAGAAATTTACAAATTTGGAAGAGTTACCCTCATCATCATAACTATGGACTTCAAAGAATTAACACTTTTCCACTATATTATCAAAAGCCCCCCCCCCCCCCCCCTCGTTATGCCAGAACCCCTGACCCTAGGACCACAAGATTTAACAAGAGGCCCAAGGGCCTTAACGGTCACCTGAGTACAACAATTTAGATGATCCATAAACTGATAAATGAAGCTTTGTTGCCCAATAGCAAGGAAAACAGTATGATGAAGATCAACAAAATAACTGTTCAAGTATCTTTCTATCTGTTCCCTATTTATCACTATTACCATGCAGACTTTTAACAAAATGTCTATATTATTACCTCTCACATTGGCCTCACTTGGCCTTTGATGAACATTTAAAAAGATAAGTTATTTTTGTTTCATTTTTATTCATCTATTATTTCCAAGTCTACCTGATTATTAAAACTATGAAAGTACTTTTTGTATTATACAATAAATGTTATTGCATAATTCTCTTATTTTATTAACCTTTCAAATACATTATCTACAGTGATTAAATATCAAAGGTGAATGGCAAACAAGGGGAATAACTTCACTCAGTAGAATACAAATTAATAGAGCCCTGGCCATTACCAGAACACTTGACTAAATCAGAGCTCCAGATAAGGTGCGTATTTGCAGAAATATGCATTGATTTTTTCAAAATACGCATTAAAAATTAAAACGGGGCGTACAATTATGCATTAGCAATCATAAATAAGCAGTACACTACGAAACTACTGCGTACATGTGCGACGGATTGAATGATACATGTGAATGGAGGTCAGCTCAGTGTTCGAATTTTTATCAAAAGGAAATTTTGATTTATAAGCGTATTCGGAATAACATAGGCCGATTTCCAGTTTGAGAGAAAGATTTGAATATGAAATACTCGTATTTCGTCTGAAAATATCACGGATTTCCACTGTTCCTTTATCACTGTTTATTAAACAGTTCTTATATAGTTACCATTTTCTGTAGCAATAATATCATCTAAAGTCCGCCGACAACGTTTATTAATTTATGAAAATAAATGCTTTTTTGCTAGCGCCACGCGACTTTAAATGCAAACGGGGAGTAATTCTTAAACTTTTACCTCGATCCATGCCAACAATTTATATAACAAAACCTAATATATTTCATTAACCTAATTGATAAATGCAGAAACTGTCCTTTTTTTACATTCCTCTTTCAAAAACGCTTATTTCGATAATAAGTTAAAAATCACATTGGATGTCAAAAGAGCAATAGATTCACAAAATACTCCGAGATTATTTTGCTGAAAAGCAAAATCTGCATTGATTTGAAAATCAGAGAGTAAATACACTTTGAGGTAAAAAATTATCTGGAGCTCTGCTAAATGGTCAAGATGTTTAAAATTCTGGTAAAAATACCTTGCTTATTAAAACGTTTACTCTGTTTGCTTCCAATATGCCCAGGAGCAGAGGAGATTTTCAAAGAAATAATGCATTTTCACTATTTAACACAGCCCTACCCTAACACCAGAACCCATGACCTAGGGTCACGGAAATTTACAAATTTGGAAGAGGTACCCTCATCATCAAAACTATGCAATTAGTTGAAGATTTTCAAAGAATTCACACACTTTCACTATATAATCAAATAGAGCCCCCTCCACCCCCCCCCCCCTCCTCTGAGAAACAACAGAAATCCTGGGACCACAAGTTTTAAAAATTTTGTAAAAGCATCCTTGCTCATCATAACTATACACTTGTTTCTTTGCTTTAAAACCAGGAGTAGAAAAAAATATTTTGAAAGAAATTATGAATTTTCACTATATAATCAATAGAGCCCCCCCCCCCTTTCACCAGAACCCCTGACCCAGGGGCCATGAAATTCACAATTTTGGAAGAGGCAGCCATGCTCATCATAACTATGTACTTAGTTAGTATATTTCATACCCAGGAGCAGAGAAGAAGATTTTCAAAGATTTAACGCACTTTCACTATATAATCAATAGAGCCCAGCCCTAACACCAGAACCCCTGACCCAGGGGCCATGAAATTCATAATTTTGGAAGAGGCAGCTATGCTCATTATAACTATGTACTTAGTAAGTTTATTTCATACCCAGGAGCAGAGAAGAAGATTTTCAAAGATTTAATGCATTTTCACTATATAATCAATAAAGCCCCCCCCCCCTTCACCAGAACCCCTGACCCTGGGGCCATGAAATTCACAATCTTTGTAGAGGCACTCTTGCTCATCATAACTATGTACTTACTAAGTTTATTTCATACCCAGGAGCAGAGAAGAAGATTTTCAAAGATTTAATGCATTTTCACTATATAATCAATAAAGCCCCGCCCTAACACCAGAACCCCTGACCCAGGGTCCATGAAATTCACAATTTTGGAAGAGGCAGCCATGCTTATCATAACTATGTACTTAGTTACTTTATTTAATACCCAGGAGCAGAGAAGAAGATTTTCAAAGAAATAATGCATTTTCACTATATAATCAATAGAGCCCCGCCCTTACACCAGAACCCCTGACCCTGGGGCCATGAAATTCACAATTTTGGAAGAGGCACTCTTGCTCTTCATAACTATGTACTTAGTTACTTTATTTAATACCCAGGAGCACAGAAGAAGATTTTCAAAGAATTACTGCATTTTCACTATATAATCAATAGATCCCCGCCCTTACACCAGAACCCCTGACCCTGGGGCCATGAATTTTAAAATTTTGGAAGAGGCACTCTTGTTCTTCTTAACTATGTACTTAGTTACTTTATTTAATACCCAGGAGCAGAGAAGAAGATTTTCAAAGAAATAATGCATTTTCACTATATGATCTATATAGCCCCACCCTGGGGCCAGAACCCCTGACCCTTGGGCCATGAAATTCATAATTTTTGAAAAGGCATCCTTATCCATCATAACCATGCACTTAGTTTGTTTATATAATACCCAGGAGCAGAGAAGAAGATTTTCAAAGAATTAATGCATTTTCACTATATAATCAATAGAGCCTGCCCTAACACCAGAACCCCTGACCCTGGGGCCATGAATTTCACAATTTAGGAAGAGGCACTCTTGCTCTTCATAACTATGTATTTAGTTACTTTATTTAATACCCAGAAGCAGAGGAGATGATTTTCAAAGAAATAATGCACTTTCACTTTATGATCCATATAGCCCCACCCTGGGGCCAGAACCCCTGACCCTGGGGCCATGAATTTCACAATTTCGGAAGAGGCACTCTTGCTCATCATAACTATGTACTTAGTTACTTTATTTAATACCCAGGAGCACAGAAGAAGATTTTCAAAGAATTAATGCATTTTCACTATATAATCAATAGAGCCCCACCCTAACACCAGAACCCCTGACCCCGGGGCCATGAAATTCACAATTTTGGAAGAGGCACTCTTGCTCTTCATAACTATGTACTTAGTTACTTTATTTAATACCCAGGAGCAGAGAAGAAGATTTTCAAAGAAATAATGCACTTTCACTATATGATCTATATAGCCCCACCCTGGGGCCAGAACCCCTGACCCTGGGGCCATGAATTTCACAATTTTGGTAGAGGGCTCAATGCTTATTACAATGATGCCAACAGTTTGACTGCTGGATGTCCAGGAGTAGAGAAGAAGATTTTTAAAGATTGCATTATTTTTGGTGGTTTTAGCCCCACCCCTCAGGCCCCAGGGGGGCAGGGACCATGAAATGCACAATTTTTGTTCCCCTTCACCCATAGATGCTATATGCCAAATTTGGTTGAAATTGGTTAAGCGGTTTCAGAGAAGAAGCTAAAAATGTTCAAATGTTAACACACGATGCACGCCGACGGACGAGAACGGATAGCAATAGGTCACCTGAGTGACTCAGGTGACCTAAAGAGAGCACTGTAAAATTAAATCTGTGATGTAATTACATGACACACATGACAGTTTAACATCATATCATTTAGAGAAATCTATTTTTAGTATAGCCTAGACTGTATGAAACCATAGTATTGAAATCTGTTACATGCTAATTACAATCCTATGTAGCAATTTTATCATCATACTCTTAAAACTAAAAGAAACTGTTGTTCTAAATAGCCAGAATTGATCTGACTTATGGTTGAGTCAAGGATAAAGTCTACAAATTTACACAGAAAAAAGACAATCAACTTATAGATAAATAATGAAATAAAGGACATTTTACCCAGCAACTGCAACAGTCAAGATACGAATCTTTTTTTATAGACATACTCAATGATAACTTCCTCAAACATTTCTCTGTAAACCACAAATGCCTTACTTTTTAAAGCTGTCTTCAGCCCCAACTGTCAGACCGTTCTCATCCACTCCATTGGTAGATGGACCTGAACCCACTGTGTCAAAAACATCAACCAGGAAACTTCCTGCTGAGGGACCCGTCTGTGTGGGGGCAGGGGAATTCAGACCAAGCAGGTCATCCGAGGCCGTACTGGGATTGGACACTGTAGACAGCTGTAATACAGAAAAAATATCTGTATAAGAATTAAAATTAATGTTTTCACTTATTAAAATAAAAATATTCAAATGATGGGTTTTTTCCTGAATTGATGTGATTATTCACGTATCCTGAATATTTCTTCAAAAATTGCCAAAAGATGATGCTATTTTTCAATATTTTGTATACAGCACAACCTCTGATCCAAAATGTGCAAATATATAATGAAAGAACTGCTTATAAAGATTATAAATCATATTTTAATTTTTGGATCAAGGGGTGTGCTCACATCTTAATTCTTTGCTGAAGGTTCTTAAATACACGTTTTCTGCAAAATTCAAGAATGTTGCAATTTCACACAACCCGTTTATCAATACCTGGGCTATTTACAGGAAACTTTGTTATACAAACTTAAAGCACTAAGTCTCTACTTTACATTGATGTTGAAAATGGGACATAGGGTTATTGTCAATAAATTGGTATATCCACAGGGCCATTTTATGCATAAAGTGAACCTAGCTCTTTTCAGACAAATCCACACAAGTCTCCAAGAACAGGTCTGGACAAAATCACGTCTACAGACAGACGGACAGCTAGACAGACATTCTGATTCCAATATACCCCTCTAGATTTTGTTTGTGGGGGGTATAATATTAACTCACGGGAGGAGGTGTGGGGGTGGCATGGGTGTTGACACTGTTGCTCATCTGTGCCTGGGGCATTGGTTGTTTTGGCTCCTTGTTCTCTGTTTGTTCTGTCACTGTGGGTTTCTTCTTTTTCAATTTGGCCAAAATTGATGATTCTCTCTCTGGGAATGGTGGCATTTCTTCCAAAACTGTTGCCTACAATAATTAATAGCAATAGGAGCATGATGTCCCCAACAATTTTAACCTTGGTGTTATCTGTTGTCTGAATGTTACGTACATGCACAATGCTTATTTCCTATGGTGTTTAAAAAAATGCTATTGCATCTCATATACGTTCAATGAAATATAGCTATAATTGATATAGAGATAGATATTTACCAAAACATCAGTTGAGGCAACTGTGCTTAACTGTAGATATTCCACACTTCTCTGTTGTAATTCAACATCTGAATTACGAAGATTATTGTCACTTTTTAAAACCTGAAATGAAAACAGATTGCAAGTAGGCAAAATATAAAATGCCGAAAGAATACAATTTTTATTAGAAATATTTTTATTTCATTCTAGCCTTTAGAGTAAAAACTTGGGATGACTTCCTATAGGAGACAAAATGGGCAAATCTGAAAGGCATACTTACATCTTGAATGGTTGATTTAATCTCAGGAAACAGGTTGACAAACTTGATGTATGTAGACAGTAGTAATCCACGGGTTGCAGGACCACACAGGTGGTATTTAGAATGTAACAGCTGGAACTGGACAAGTGGACTGTCAAAACAGAAATTAAAACTGGAAAACTGATCACACAGGTGGTGCTTGTAATATAACAGCTGGAACTAGACATATGGACTATCAATACAGAAAATAGAGGTAAAAACTGACCACACTGGTAGTACTTAATAGAATGTATTAGCTATAACTAGACAAGTGGACTGTAGGACAAAAGAGAATTTGAGAAATGACAAAGTCATAAAATGCCCTGTAGTGTTATCTCGACCTTTTAGCAGACATCTCAGAATCTGCTTTTTATAATATACATGTACATGTTGTGAATATGAAATCTCCACCTTAAGACATACCCATTTTATGGCACATAGAAATGTGTTGATTGGAAAATTAATTATCATACTAATACATGTACAGTGAACCTTCAGATATCCGGATGCCAGATATCCGGACGCTTCAGTTTCCGGACGATGTTTCACGGGAACGGAATTTTTTAATGTTATTTTGTCTCGTTTATCCGGAATTCCGCGTTCTGTATCCGGACGGTCTTTTTTCACCACAAAATGAATTTTTACGTTACATTTTGGTTCATTTATCCGGACGGTCCTTTTGTAATTGGTATGTCAACTCTGCTAAAATTTCCTAATAAGGGTATTAATTGTTGTAAAAACACTTGCCTGGCTGTTTGTTTTAAAAGATGATCACCTGCGACCTGTTATCAATGGCTTGCGGCAAGGTTAATTATAGGACAATAGGTATGCACGAAACTCTCGCTTCTCAAACATGTATTTGATACGTATTAATTAAGGAAAATAATTTTATAAGTCTATAATTTTTCGTAGTCGGCAAATATATTTCTTTTACTGTTAGAATACAGTAGTAACATGGTTTTATGTATTGCTACATATAGACATGACATCGAAGTTTTTTTTATGCACAGTATTTTGTCCGCAAATCAGATTCTGTGATTTGATGACATTTATAAAATCACTTTCATTATTACAAAATCGTTAATTAATGCGATCTTGCTTGGGATGATAATGATAAGCATACGTATATATGTGCAGTTAATTTCACATTTAATAATAGGCCTATAGCATTGATGGGCGTTCATATTAAATAAGACTCGTGCGAAAGTTTTTTTCTCTACCAGTTCTACAGACACTTGGCTAGGAGAAGTTGATTCATAGACACTGGGAAGTAGAAATAATTAATGTTTTCACATAAACGACGTTTCAACCAATGACAATGTACTTTTTTATTTTATTTAAACAAGTACTGAGTACTGATGTATATTAAAGTATATAAACAATAAAACAAATTTACTATTGCCAATGATATAACATGCCATATGAATAAAATCAAGGCAATTCAGGTATCCGGACGCTTCACATATCCGGACAAATTGACTGGGAACCAAAGCGTCCGTATAAATGAGGCTCCACTGTATATCAACTGACCTAGATCTAGGATCCCCTGCAATAAGATTGCCAAACTCCCCTAGTATGTATCCTCCGACTTTGACCATGTTCTCATGACAAGCTGGGGCCTGCAGAGCCTGAACAAAAAAAACAAAACTCAGTATCAATAATTCAGTTTACAGATTAAGCAAATGATTGAATTCATGTATGTGGCACAATGGAGGGCTGATATCCCTATGACCTACCTCGAACACAGTCTTCGCTGCATACCCTTGTACATCATCCCTATTTATCACAATCTGTATGACTCGGTACCAGACCTATTCATGATTGAGAACACAGTTATTATACATCATCTAAGTTATCTTCACATTTTTACAAAAAAATATTGTCTGGTATCATTAATAAAGTACATGTACATACATGTAGTAAGTATGGTTAGTTAAGAATACATTTTATTTTACCACTGCTTTTAATGTCTTAGTGAAAGGCAAGTCACAGTGTTTTTTATCTTAAGTTGCTTTCCAGCATGTTAACAACATCACACCCACCTCTTCACTGACGTAATCTCCAGAGATGCGGATCAGATTCAGTATGACGTCCACGTACCAAGTGTAGTCCACTGCATACTTCTCTGCCAGAATAGCCACCTTCAGCACCTATTCAAAAAAAACATAATGATTTCAGAAATGCAATGAATGTACAACAACATTTCTTTAAAATCTTCAAAATTTCATATTACATAGTACCTTTATTTCAATAAATTCCAAGTACTGGTATTAGAAATGTGCAAGTACCAGACAATTTTATAAATAGATATAATTGTTAACATTTTCTTTTCTTCTACTCATCATTGTACTTAAAGTAATTGTATTTATTCCATTACTTCTTCCTCAAATCAATTCCATGCCAGTGTTATTTTCATGTTTCATTTGGCTTTAAGATAGTGAAAGTACATGTACACCTGTTTAAAGTCCTATTTTTTGTTCTGAGAGATCAATTGTATCTCAACATTAGCATCACTCCAATATAGTAATTACTGCTGCAGAGAATCTATTGATTATAAAAAATTTAATTGTTGTGTGTAGAGCATAAGCATACCATTTCCTCTCGTATTGAGTAGTCAGCAGTTTCTAAATATTCCAACATTTCCCCTACAATTTCTTCTGCATTTGTTCTGTCACACATGGCATATAGAAGGTCCACTGCCCTCTGTCTCACACTGACATCTCGCTCAGTCTAAAATAGGTATACCCAAGTGTTTACAATCACATCAAAAATCAACTAAACCAACAATTTACATTGTTCTAGCATTTGTAATAGTATTTGGTTCTTAAATATTGTCAATGTATCATGTCAATAAAGAAAAGGGTTAGTATTAAAAAACATTATTTCTTTTATGTACATGTAATTGCAATACTTTTCACAACTGATCCTTTATTCTTTCAGTTGGGAATTAATATCAAAAAAGTGGCTAAGTGGAGGAATACTTTAATGTAAAATAAAGACAGTCAAATTGTACGTCTTTCTTCTACTCACATCTATGAACTATTATAATTTAAAAATTCAGATTTCTGAAAAAAAGCACTACAATATTCAATAAACTTTTCATTTGGGAATGTTTACCTTAATTTTAGGAAAACAAATGTCAATTTTCCATTAGGATTGTATCTTTTTACTGTACCCACATGCTAAGGTATAAATTGTACACTTTGCCTGTCTTTGGACCTACCTTTAATGAATTAACTACAGTTTCTTGGTGTTTTTTCACTGCCTCGTGTGAAAACTCAGATGTTGCTAACAAACACATGCTTTCCAAGGCCAAGTATCTGTTACAAAAGGAATGGTATTATTCATCAATACTTTATCTGCATAAATGCAGAGTTTCTGTGGTTATCAAATAAGTTTTTGAACCATTTCAATAAAGAAAAGTCAAATAAACATGCCTTTCATTAATACTTATTTTTTTAATTTTTAACATGTTAATTATAACAATGTACATAAATTCTAACCAAGACCTTTGTCTAAACTTCGTTAAAAAAAATCTTTCTCGGAAGTAAACAATCTAACAAGTAATTGCATGCAAAGAACTGCATTTTCTGCTTTCAGTGCTATACCTTAGATTAGTTTCCCTGTGCTGTAGAAATTGGCCAAGTTGGTTACAGGCCCTGACTAGAAGGTTAGGATCACTGTCCATATGAATAATTAGGTTAATTGCTTCATTAAGTACCGCATTTTTGGCATTACCATGCTGGATCTTTTTAGATTTGGGAGGTTCCTGTGCTTTATTTAATATAGTTTCTAAGCACTCTGTTAACCTTGTCCTCACGGCTGGGTCCTCTACAGTAACAATGTTAAAAAACATATTATATTCATAAATTGATCCAGACTTTTGCCTATCATTTTCAATTTTGCAATAAATTTTTTTTTACAAATCAACTTTTATAAGATGTCTGACCTGGAGGAGGATAATTCTGTAGCAATCTTAAGAGTTTGACAGATAACCAAGGAGCTGGTACAAAGTAATAGGTGTAATCCTGAAGGTCTGTGTATGAAGCTGTCACAATCTGAAAATTAGGTCAGAATCCATATTACTATCTTAATGGAAATTGTATTTCATTAGGTTGTAGCACTGAAAAAGATAACAGAAATTATTGCTTATGTACTTTGGTTTAAATATCATACAGTATAATATGTCCAAACTGGATGATTCTTAAAAAAAAATCTATGTAAATGGACAATATCCAAAATGAAGGCAGAGGAAAATATATGAGTTATTGCCCTTAATTTACTATTTTTTTGTATGGTCTTCTCCTTATCATTTGTGAATTCTTTAGTAAAACTCAACTGATTAAGTTGCAGCAAAATTTACATATTTTTTTTTTTAAATGCTTTGCAACCAACAAGCATGTACATGTACATTCATTAAGTAAGTTATCAAATTCCATCTGCTTTCAGACAGTGATTTATACAGATAACACAATTCTTATAGATGTATAGATGTGTCAAGTCTAAAAATACCAAAGAGCATTCAAAATAAGAACCATTTACATGGTATCAAATAAAAGATATAAATTTAAATGCTTCACATATATTGAAAATAAAAAAAAACAAAGGGGGAAGGGAGTGTAATAAATGTACTGTTGAATTGATAATGCTAATGCTTATTTCCATTTATCTACACTCACACTGAGGCAATCAAAAAGTATGTGATACTTCATTTTGAGGATCAAATGGACAAATTCCAGATTACTCAGAGACCAGTTTGGACATATTATACTGTGTATGTCAAATTTACTTGGAAGGTTGTACATGTGCCTGTGACATTTAATATCTGTCAAGAAAATCAATATACCGTATTTGGCCGAATATAATACGCATTGGTGTAAAATACGCACCCCCCTTTTTGAGCCTGAAACTGGGGGAAAAAATGCAGTTCCGTTGTATTATACGCAGCAGAAAATTTTACCGAGCGGTATTCTGAACTTTTGAAAATCGCGGTAATTTGCTATGAAAATCGGCGCGGAGATAAAGTGCCGAAAATTTACAGAACACGATATTTTATTCAAATGCATTATTTCTTAATCTTGACTTTCCATATTGCGGCAATCTGGAGGAAATTATTTCTTTTAACAAAGCACAAGATAATGTTGCATTAAAGTATTAACAGAGTTTATTATTAAAATTTTTTTTTAGCAAACGGTGATATTGAAATTATACGTCGCCGTATTCTAACTATTCTTTGTGGAAATAATTTTATTTCAACAAAGCACGAGATATTGTTGCAAGTTTAACAGTTGTCATATTTATTTTTAGTTTAAGGTAATCATGTTGAAAATTATGTAAATTTAACTGGGCAAGCGATATTGTAACATCAAAGTATTCAAAGACTACGATTTTCCTCTTTTGAACTTGAAATTAATTAAATAAATAGCTGATGTTATAAAAATAAAATCAAAATTTAACAAGCGTATAAAGTGTAGTTATCAACACACCTCCGAAGCTGTGAAAAATGATGTACAAAGGTGGGATATATGTCTTCATACATCGAGGTAATCTTCGTGGATATCTTATTTTCTACAGAGCACGAGTAAATGATAACACTTAAGTTTCAACATACTTCATATTTCCTTTTTTAACTCTCAAACATTTTAACACGAGGCCGATATAAGATGTAAAATTACATTTAACAAGCGTTTAACTGTTTAATGTGTCGTAATCAACACACACTTATACATACGAAAGATCATAAACCAACCCCCGATTTTGAACAAAGAAAATAATCAAAGCCATTAATAAGGGCAGTAAATAATCAGTGCTCTAACTGTAAAAACAATGCTTTGGAGTCGGTAAACAATTGAATTGCCTGGAGGGGTGTTGAGGGGTAATTATCAAGTGACAAGCGCACGTGTTCACAAGATTGGCTTCCATTCATTGGGACGTATAGAGGGGTGTTTATGTTGAAATGAATTTTCACTGAGTTATTTAAAACCTAAAATAAAATTTTATTTTATTGTATTTCATTATAAAATGACTTATTACTTTTTTGATCGAGTGTCTGACTGATAAGGTACATGTGTACTATGATTACGGAAGCACGTGGCAAAGGAATGTGTGAACATCTATAAATAACATCGTTAATGGCGGCCTACACGGAGACGAAGAACATGCAGCTCAAATTAATTTTAACTTGCTTTTAAATTTAATTTAACTATCAAAAGGTTATAAATATAACATTTTTAACAAATCTACATTCAAATAATAACTTTCCGAAGTTTTAAATATGGCGATAAACAGCAAGAAATTGCACAAGTATCTAGGTAATACTACGGTATGTGCGTATGATAGCCGTGTTTCACATGAAAGAAAAACCTATCAAAATCCCATTGTGGTGTAAAATACGCACCCCTTTCTCACAGAAAATTATTTTGGGAAAAAAGTGCGTATTATATTCAGCCAAATACGGTAGTAGGTATCAAATAAACCAACATAGTCCTCTGAATAAGTGACAATTACCCTACTGAGGCGGGACACTGCTAGTGAAACACATCCCTTGTATTCCTCTGGGTTCTTCTTCACCAGAGCTTCAATTAAACTTGCTGCTGATGTGACTACTCCTAGGTGCTGGTCATTTAGTAGGTGAATGACTCTTGATGACCACTCTCCAATCTGAATGTATTCTGGTGACGTCCGCAGTAATCGAAGCAAAGTTAGAGCTGCACTCTGTTTGACAGAATCAATTGTTTCACTGCAACAAACACAAAACATTTATCTTAGAGCTGGAAAAACAAAGCTAAGTCAAGATCAATGTAGATTCCTTATCATAAAACAAAATCACATATTTCTATAAGGTCCTTTGAGATATCTCTGGTTAAATTTTTTCTTAAATGTAGGCAGTTGAACAGACATTGTTCCAAAACATTTGAGATCTATGTACATTTTCAACACATACAAGTAATTTAAGACTATAGTTCTCTAAGTCATGTACACATTTTCCTTACCCTGTCACCAGAAGTTTGGGGATTTCGTTGCCCAGGCCCTCGGCCATTTCCTTACTCCCAATGTTCGCTGTGCATTGAAGGGCCAGATTAACATGGACAGGGTTTGGACTTGCCAAGTCGTTTTTAATGGACTTAATGACGAGCTTTATCAGATCATTATTGGCACTAATCATCACAGAAATGAACAGGTATCCCTGATAAATACAACAGTATCTTATATGAACCTACATAGTTAAATATATGTATAACAATGAGAATTTACATGTATGCATGATGGATGAAATAAATATTGTTTTGAAGTAATATTTCTTTTCTCAGATTAGATTAATTTTTCTTCATTTTCTCTTTATACAAAACTGTAACTAATATCTGTTTATCAAGTTATATTGCAGCTTAATTATCTTAATACTACACAGAATTTCTCAAAATCACTGTCTGAGCAGTAGAGCTCTTAAACTGCTTTTTTCAGTTTTTTGCACTTTATCAGTAAAATAAGTGAATTATCAGTAGACAACTGATGCACATCTCTGTGTCCCTGTATATCAGTAGACTTACGATCTGTTTTTCTGTGTATCTATTGGAGCTAAGAAGATTTACAGCCTCCATATATCCAAAGTCTATATCATGACCCAAAAGGAAGATAAAGAGAAGTTTACAAACATACTTCTTCTTGTGGTAGCCATCTAGAGTCTTGTCACCTGTGTAATAATAACAACATTATCAAAAGCTGGCTTCACGTTTCCAAAATCCATTTATATAATTAACATCTTAGAAAAAATTTAAAACTGCATTTTAGAATTTGTATTTTAAGATCAATGGAATTTAACTTCATCCTCTAATTACAAAACAATTCTTTTTCTTAAAGTGATCAGTTTTAGAAATCTTTAACCTTTAAAATATTTTATAAAATATCCCTGGCTGACTTTTTTTTTTTACCTTTGAACTTTGACCTGATATTGGCAAGCTCCTTGTTTATTCTTTTGATTTCAGCCTCTTTACTTTTGCCTGCAAAAATCAGAATGACACAATGAACAGAATCTATTAGAGTAAAGAGTTGTTTGAGTGTCATAAGTACCTCATTAACAGGGCACTACAGACCAAACCACAACATTTTGATGCTAGTAAGCTACATAGAAACACTTTAATTGATGCCCTTGTCAACATAATTGATAAGTACATCAAGATAAAAGCTACTAAAATTTCTTTCTATGTCTGTATTATAACATCATATCTTTCTTTTTTTTCTACTAGCATTCTCTTTAAGGCTTAAAAAAATCTTATAATGCAAAATTGGAAATTTATAAATTGATCCTCAATATAAACAAAATTCAAATGCAAGGAATGGATCAAGGATTGCTTCATTTATTTTTTTTAATTATCTTACAAGCAACCATGGGATCTTTCAACTGTTCATACAGCAATAAGATGCAAAAATCAACCTTGATCATGTTTATATAGCTTATTTCCTTATAACAGGATTTTGACCCTGACCTGGTTTTACCTTGAATTCATATAATGTCAATCAAATGTAATATGTCAACAAACAATAACTCTGAACAAATATTATATGCTTTTCATTTTCAGCAAGGAAATAAATCTTTTAAATTCAAGGTTTAAGTCTACCCTCAATTTCAATGATATATTCTATAATTTTACCCAAAAAAAGACAACTTTGATGCCAGCACTTAGCTTGTTGGACTTAAATTCAGAGTCTGGATTCAATGTAACACATGATATTACTTGAACAATAAGTACTGAAGAACGTTAAGAACAAGGCTTCTCAAAAAGCTTTTATAATGACTATTATTCTCTACAATGTAAGTTGCATGCAGCATCAGGGCTCGACATTAACTTTTTTTCCTACTTGTCCATTCGGACAAGTGACCAAGACATTTACTTGTCTGAACTTCAACTTCACTTGTCCGATTTTTTTTCCAATAAAGATCTAATACTGTCAGTTGGAAAACTAAATAAAATCCATTACATGTGTGTGATGTTATTTATAAATACAACAAACACTTAAAACAAAATTTTATCTAGACTTTCTGTCCTGACAACAACATCAATCTTCAGAAACTGAACATAAATTCGTAAGTTCCATGCCTTTGAGTATGCATTAAGTGAACTTCGATCCCGATCGAGTGTGAACTCAATTACATGGAGAACCATATCAGGATCAAAGTTCGATTTTTATGTACTGTTTCCGTATCTAAAGTACCGGTAAACTTTCAAGTCATTCTTTAATTATTTGGAGACTTCTTTATAGTAAAATGCACTTGTCCAATCGGACAAGTGCTCAGCAATATCCACTTGTCCGTAATTTTTTTTCATTGGTACCGGACAAGCAGACAAGCGTTAATGTCGAGCCCTGAGCATCTAAGTATGTCTTCTTCAGCAAATATGTCAAGATTGGTCATTTTGGGCCATATAATCACTTGGAAATGGACCTCCTTAAGAAACTTTAAATTTGATCTCTTATGCACAGTAAAGAGGTTAGGGGCAATATATGAAACTTCTTTCTAATTCTAGCATACATTTTTTCCTTTCCTGTAGAACATTAATACTCCTATCATACAAATTAATTATAATGAAAATCAACAAACTTAAACAATGAACCCATTACAAGAGATACAACACAAATAACTATATTTGATTTCTGCACAAAAAGGCATTCATTTGAAATGAGAAAATTCTGTCATGCAGTAATGGTTTCTCGTGATCAATTAGATCCTAAATATCTAATATTAATAAATCTGAGCTCTACAATCCCGAGAATCAATACACAGTTATAGCACTGGATCTCGACTCTGTCCCTATGGCGAGATCAATAGGACTGCCTCAGTCATACAATCAATGTAGACGACCAGCTTACCTTACATCCAGCAATCAAACTAAACACAATATAAGCATGATAAGACTTAACTTAATTTGTTTTCATCACTTAAAACACTCCATGGGATTGCTACTAATCTGAAGACTTAAGATATTTATTTTCAAGAAGAATCTATTTAACTTTTCTTTAATACAGATGTGTATGAGTTCAATAGCTCAAGATTTTACTAATAATGATTTGTAACCTTCGGCATGAATCATTCTTAATTGTTAATTTTAGAATAGAAATCAATTAACTGCCTAAAGTACTTTTATGTATAGTGTTCCACATCAAGTATTTATAAAGAGAAAATGTTTCCATAATGTCATAAGACTTGCTGAACAACCACTTTTTGTAACCACTTTGATTTTATTAAATTTTATTACTTTATGAGTGGGAGACATCAAATTGTAACATATATCACAATATGCTAATGTTCCTTGTTTGTTAGCCTATCATATGTGCATAACATTTACATTTTTATCTTATCTACAACCGTATTAGGGTCACCAAGAAAATTATTACACAGTTTGCTTTCTTAACTGAGAACATATTGAAATTTATCCAACTTCTTTTTTATACACATGACACAGGACATGATATGCATAATAATCATAATTATTTTTCTTGATGTCTTAATAACCATTGTGTGAGGATGAGCACCTGTTACATCACCTGATCAATATCTGATGCTGTATACAGAATAGAAAGCTATCATCATCTGATTAATTATTTACCTGGCACTCATAGACAGGTAAATGCAGACAATGTCCTTTACATGTGAAGGAGATTCAAATGTTGTAATCATTACCTTCTCCTTACTTTTAAGACTTGATTAATTAATTTGGTCTCTGCAGTATTATAGTTTAATTAATTTGGTCTCAGCAATATTATATTTTACTTTGAAAGACTGAAAAAAAATGGTTCACATACATTTCAATACTCCATTATTTAGCTGAAAATCAAAACAGAAAAAGCACTGCAAAAGATTTATCTATCACTTAATAATTTTTAATTTAGTAAATTTTAAAATAAAAACTTCATTCTATTATTTTAAGAGTCATATATTACAACTCAAGCTGAACCAGTGATATTTGAGAATATTCCACATAATACACACATGAAATGGAAAATATCAAAAAGTTTACCAATACATGTACCACATTCCGATGAGCCAGTTGGCTTAAGGAAATAAAGAAACTTGAAACCACATACAGATTATTCAATGATCTGATTATCATATTGATCCTTATTAACTGTTGACACTTTGCTCAAATGATGCTACACCCTTCTACATGACAATTTTCAAACTGTGTTAGAAACTATCACGCTATATACTATAGTCACACCTCTCTCATGTTTCATAGTAATTGTTACACCTGAAGTATTTACAAATCTGTTACCAATTTTATATTTAACATTTCAACTAAGACTTATGGTCCTTTTTTAAAACATGATTTACTAAGCATTCCAAGGGTGTAATTATTCTGTGTAGAAATAAATGGATTGATTTTCAACATTTCATCTTTGAATCTCTTCTTTGCTATTCTTAATTAAGCATTATATTGTATTTATAAAGTCACTGTCATTTTTGTGTTTATTTTACTGCAAAGTTAAGTGCATTTATAAAAGAGTCTTTCCTCCCTGACTGGAAGATAATCTATACAATTTGTTGCCAAGATGACTCTCACTCCCTTAGTTCTAAAGACAAGTCTAAATTATCTCCCTTACTTTAGTTACAGTTCTGGATGTTGGAGATATGTTACTTAAAGTTACGGATGTCAGAGATGCAATCTAATTAAAATTAAATGTAGCGGATTCGGAACACCTACTTTTAATTAGAGTGGTCAACAGTCTGCATATCTTTATCTCTTCCTTATTGGTACGGAGAGTCATTAGTGAGTCACAGTAACTGCTCTGGTTTTAAGACAATAGACTTAAGACAAAATTTCAAATCAATATAACTTTTTAAATAACTTTTGAAAATCAAACAAAATTTTCATGGTTTGTTCATGTTTAAATAATGCTCAAACCTGCAAATTTTTAAATACATATCTGAAATAAATATCAAGTTACTAAAAATCAAAATTCTGACTTTAATAAGTCTATTCTCAGTTTATGGTCTTGAAGCCTTATGTCCGAGATGAAGACCAACATTCCCCACATTATCTCCCCTATTGGTATGGAGAGTCATTACTTACAATAACGGATGTCGAAGATGAAGACCCCATATGTTATCTCCCCTACTGATATGGAGAGTTATAACTTACAATTACGGATGTCGGATATGAAGACCAACATTCCCCACATTATCTCCCCTATTGGTATGGAGACTCATTACTTACAATTACGGATGTCGGAGATGAAGACCAACAGTCCCCGCATGTTATCCCCCTTCACAGCAGGCATGATGCCTTGTTATATGGACCTGGAAAAAATAATGTAAAATGCATAATTTATTCATCTTATGTTTAATACACAAATCTTTACCTTACAAAAATTTGTGTTAGCTTGTATGGAATAAATAAACTGCTCTAAATATGAAAGATACAGTCTTAATTTAATTGGAATTCCAATTTGGGATTTGTTTAAAATCTCCAACTTATAGACTCTAAACCTTTCAACAAGTATGTCTATGTTTCCTAGGTTAAGTTTCATATAACTATGCACTCAGATTTTCCTTATGGCAACATGGTGTTTGGTCAGAGTCACACTGACTGTTGAGTGCCAATGAAATTGTCATCTGCTATTTTCATGAAAATGAGGAAATATTTTCCCTGTATTCTATTGAAAATAATGAAAAGAATACAGTATAGAATGTATCATGGCCTTCAAAGATCCATTAATGAATAATGTATAGACACAAGAAGTTTCCTCCAAAACAGCAAGATGAAAATGATAATTTTTGTACAGAGTGAATAAAAAGACAATTTCATGTAAATATTCAAATTTACTCAATATCCTGATCATTGATCAGGTAGAAATTGTCAGGGATTGTAGCTTACACAAAGCTTTAGATTCTGGATGATTAGAGTTCAAGCTCAGCTCTATTTTCACAATGGCATTTTTTCTTTCATTTAGCATGTTTAGTGAAACCAAAAATGACATTCTAACAATAAGTTACCAAATGAAACCTGCACTTATAATACTATTTTTATGTCAAATATTGATCATTAGAACATGTTGCTTTGGGTTAATTGTTTCTGAATCAGAATGTCCTTTAGCTCCTGCTATCCTAAATTCAGGACTGAGAGTCCTAAAAGGGCCATCTTGCCCTATTCCCACTTCTTGGGAAGTTAATGGATTGTTACATGTTTATATATCATGATATACATGATATATGGCACATACAATAGACAAAATAAACTCTGGTTATTAGCAAAAACAACACATTACTAATTTTTTTGTAGATACCTATATTACATCTTTATATAATTGATTGTATAGGGGTATATTTTTTTTGCATAAATCAGGGAGACTGTAGAAACAACAACAAAATCTGCAATGCAGCATACTCCCACACCTCAACAGGTCCAGCACAATCTCTTGATTAAGCTATATAGCTTGAAATAGCTATATAGCTTCATTAAGCTATTCAAAATAGCTTGATAAAGCTATTTATATGCAGGTTTTCACAAAAGTGTTATTTGTACAAAATAGACAAAAAGTCGCAAGTATTTGACTATTCATATATGTAATATGGGTTATCAAATCAACAACCCAAATCAAAGATAGTTCTAACATTGCAGCATTTGAATACTTTTAAGCAAAAGATGAATTTCCATTGTTTGGGTAACTGTACACTACCTTGTGTGCGTTGAGGCATTGATAAGTATGATTGCTTCTCATTGTACTGAATTATTACCAATCATCTTGTTGACCATAATTGGCCTCCTTTATAATTTCATTGAAGAAGTAACTGTATCAATTGCTTTATATAGCCCCAAAACTTTTAGAACTTTGAGTACAAAGTCTCTTAAGGAGACGCAATTTGATGAGTGATTTTTACATGCATTATTTTCATAAGAGTTCAAGGTTGAATATCATCACTGCACCAAGGTGCGACTTTTCGTGCATACTTGGAAAATAACACATTTGAGAAAAAAGTTTAATAAAATAGCTAAATCAAGCTATTCTGAATAGCTTAATAAAGCTATATAGCTAAATCAAGCTATATAGCTTAATCAAGAGATTGTGCTGGACCTGCTCAATTACCAAAATTCATTTCATTTTTAAAATTTCTCCAAGAAAAAGACATCATTTTCTATGACACCTGTATTGAATCTGTAGATATTTCTGACGATAATCAAAATCAAATGTATGATTTTGGTATAAGGTGCGAAACATAGCATTTCTGATCCACGCCGGGGGTGTCACTTCCTGTCTGTAAACAGACTTTTACTTCGGACTGCCAAAGAGCTTCTCGTTAAGCACAAAACTGCGGAAGGAAGTTGAATAAAACTATCTTTTCCTTCAATCTTCAACACAACTTTACTTCAAAAACGCTCACTAAAGTGAATGCAATGAATGAAAATGAACTTATCAACAATTTATTTTAAATGTTGTAGTGTAAATTACTCTCGCTTTTGATCGAATGCAATATTATAAAACCAAACAGACTCATTATTGTGTACTTTCGTATTACCTTATCCTGATAATCTATCGATGCTATAATCACAAATCACATAAAAATACGAATATGTTATTTCGGGAGGTGGGTCATCGGCGAGAAAATAGTCGCCATTTGCAAATTCGTGAATGAGGTCACGACACCCACTTCCAGTTGCTGTCGATATTTTCTGTTGATCGAGCCCGACTAAAATGAATTCAACACGAATTTTTTCCCCATTTTTTTCAGACAAGAACTCAGTAAGTTCTTTTATTCCTTTTAATGAAGTATGTCGGGATAATTATTACTAAATAATATTGTAAATTACAGAACGTAGTGCTCAGGGACATTTAGGCAAATATTAATATGTGTATGTATAATTATATGTTAATGTATTTTAATATCGACAACTTCTTTAGTACTAGGATTAAAACAATGCGTGAGCATGAACATAAAAATGTTAGCGTCGAATTTTATAAAGAATTTTAATGATAACAGTTTTTTTAATGCATCATGCAAACATATTCAAGTATATTTTTAACTTCGATCACATTTTCGAAGATATGCAAAATAACTCAACATGTCACATTAAAGTAAATTTAACTTAATAAGTACATATTGTAATTTTAAAATCATTATTGAATATCAGTTTCGTCGCCAGGTTTCTGGAAAGGACGGTGTGAGGGAGGGTCTAGGAGGGACGCCCCTTTTCTGAGTCAGAATTTTTAAAATATAAAAATGGATACATTTACACGTATTTTCTTGGATTCTGCATGGTGTTTTTTTTTTTTTCAATCATTTGTTCACATATTGCATTCAGTGAATAAATCGAGTTCTTCCCAGTTTCGACTGCCTTAAATATTCTGGCCTCCATATAAGTAAAGCAAAGCATAAAATTATAAATATCCTATCTTTCTTGAATACGATCTATATTTGGCTAACCTTTTCCTTGTTCAGTTTAGAGTTAGAATTAATCAGAGAACTATGATGACATATATATTTTTTGAGATATGTTGTCCTGTATTATGCACGATCTAGCAGGGGGGGGGGGGGGTTGAAGTGTGAGTGAAATGATAAACAGAGTAAAATGATAAACAGAGTAATGAAAAAAAGTTACTCGTCCTTACCCCCCCCCCTCCACCACCACCACTAACCACCCAACCCCGCCCCATCCCACCCCCGAAATTGGTTGTCCAGGTTGGGACAGGTTGTTTACGGTTTTTGTGTGTGTGTGAAAAAATTTCCGAGTCGTTCGACATGTGTCTGAAACTAATAGTATATATAGAACATATAATACTTCATGCATCTCAAATTGTTCTCCTAACTTAATGACGAAATGATAAATATCCTCTATACTAGAGGGATAGATCTATATCTATTTATATATTTATCATTTGGTCATTTACGAAATTAGACGGGGACCACCTATGGTTTTATGCTTTTTAATTAGTTCTGCTTTATGGTGGCATATTTCTATTTGCCTAAATGTCCCTATATAAGCACTACGCTCTGTAATTTACCCGTCGCGAAACATAAAAGAAAGAGGTTTCTAGGATTGAATTTTTAAGGACTGTCGGGTACAAATTTGGTGCCAGAACAAGTAATACGTTCTGGCACAAAATTTATTTTCGAAGGCGGCTGTATAGTAACTTTCATGCAGACCTATACATGTAGTACATTTTATTATAATGGGATGTATATTAGAGTTTGTGTAACATGTGTGCAATGTTATCTTGCATGTCAACATAAATAAGTCGCATCTAGTCACATGTGAGCGATAATTGATAAATTTGGAACATTTTGCAAATTCTTAATTGATTACATTTTTTGTACATCTATGTCAACTTAGTTATGTTGCAAGTCAAACTTTGCATGTTGACATAATCTATAGAAAAATAAATTGCATGGAGGGGACAGAAGCTAGTAATGCCACCATACTACTTAGATACGTTGAATTAAACTTTCCAGTTTTGGTATACTTATATTCGATGTAATCATTATTTGAAGAGAAAAGTAGATGAGATATAAGGCGTAGACATGTACGTCTTGGGATTTTTCCGATACGCAGGTAGCACAGGCACTTGTTTCGGTAATAAATTTTTAACCCATAGTATGATAATAACACAAGGTATCTAACTCCGAATTACACGGAGTACCCCCCTCCCTCAGAATCGCACTCATTTACACTTTCAGAGGAAATACACTAACAAACTGTTTATACCTATGTTTTCTACGATAATTTATCTACACAACCATATATGGCATGCTTGTCTTTATTTTCTTTAGTCTCCGTAAACAGCGTCAAAACTCTGCTCGCCGTGTGGAAAAGTCGAATTCAACCATGAAATGGTATGTGCTAATCCCGCACAGAGAACAAAATTAAAAAATGAGTGGGTTTAAAAATTCAATTCCAGTGTTTAAATATTGCATGAGTAAATAGAACTTGTTTACGTCTGATTTTCCCTGAAAACATTACGATGATTATCCGATGTAATTTTAAATTAAGTCGAATTCAACCATGAAATGGTATGTGCTAATCCCGCACAGAGATTTTGATTGGCTAAAAATCTGTTTTTAAAATTACATCGGATAATCATCGTAATGTTTTCAGGGAAAATCAGACGTAAACAAGTTCTATTTACTCATGCAATATTTAAACACTGGAATTGAATTTTTAAACCCACTCATTTTTTAATTTTGTTCTCTGTGCGGGATTAGCACATACCATTTCATGGTTGAATTCGACTTTTCCACACGGCGAGCAGAGTTTTGACGCTGTTTACGGAGACTAAAGAAAATAAAGACAAGTATGCCATATATGGTTGTGTAGATAAATTATCGTAGAAAACATAGGTATAAACAGTTTGTCAGTGTATTTCCTCTGAAAGTGTAAATGAGTCGATTCTGAGGGAGGGGGGTACTCCGTGTAATTCGGAGTTAGATACCTTGTGTTATTATTATACTATGGGTTAAAAATTTATTACCGAAACAAGTGCCTGTGGCAGGTAGGTTAAGGCTTCCCGTAGAATATGACAGTGCACTCTGTGCCTTCACATCTCTGAACTACCAAAACATGACGTCATAATGGAAAATGACGTCAGGTCACTGCAAACTTGAGGTGTTATGACGGGGAGAGTGTCATAAACTTTACACTTTATTTCAAACTGCATGTAAAATGCTAGATAGCTATTGCAAAATTCACGGGTCGTTAAAGGTTTTTTAAGTCTTATATGTCCGAATATTTTAAAAATACACCGCTTACCTACCATTGATTGAAATTCATCATGTTCAAAATGCTTATGAAAAATATACTTTTGAAATGTACTCTGTTTTATACCCGTGGTTGGAGGTAGAATTTATTTTGTGTGTATAAAAGAGTCTGGCGCAGGTGATTAATGAGGATTAATCTGAGAATTTTTGTGGAAATCTGTAAGAAGAGGTTGTTCTCTAACTGAATCTTGCTTGGGAAAAATGTGTATTGGCTTTGTTTTAATACAGATTACGATATTGTGTGGAAAATACCCTCAAATTTGTAAGTAAGTTGAATTTCTCAGGAAATATTTTGTACCCAAGTAATACTATGACTTTCCCAAGCACATTTCGGATACACAAGGATACGGTGAGTTTATTTATATAACAAAATGTTAATAATTATTGTGTTAATCAGCTGCGCCGAAGCGATTTATATGAAACACTTCAAAAAATTGTAAATGACCGTCACGTGATCAACAAAGTCATACTAAAGTTCAATACTTATAAATTAAAACCAAAACCGACCTCGCAATGACATATTATGTTTTGGGCGCATTTTAAAGCTTAGGGAAGCCTTAACATAGCTGCGATTATATATATAAGTCTAGAATGAGTGAACAATTACTCTGAAAAAAAATCAAGCTGGAATCAAGCTTTTCTTCATAGTTTTTAAGAAGACTTTTAAAGCTACAAAGAATTGATATGTGATTTTTTTTATATAGATGATAGTGGGATTAGTGGTCAAAAAATATTATGCTTATTTTGATGGATAAAACCAGAGAAGTTCTTGCTGACACCTCAAGATAATCAGCAGAATACATCCTTATAGTCAAATAAAAAAAGGCCGTTGGAGTTACAGGTATTTGGTGTCTTTTTAGAAGAAAGGCGTACACTGTATGGGAGAACACTTTTTGATTTTCCCGCCACCGTAACAAGTGCTCGGCCTACCTTTTGTGCGGTCCTGTTATCGTGACGTAATCACCAAGGAGATAGGCAAATATTTCAATATGGATTCCCTCTCTTGAGAAAGTATATTGAAAAACTGCATTGATCATGGCATGTTGTGAATAATACTTGGTTGTCCCATTTTCATTAAAATACGGTAAGGTACCAAGATACTAATTAAATTTAAGACGTCATATTTTTCTAAACAAGACAATTTCACCATTATTTTAATGTATAAGCCAATATATTATACTAGGAATAGTGGAGCAAAAATGCATGCAAGTGCTCGTCCCATTAAACGAATAAACACTGCTGAAATGAACATGGCTTTCAATTTAAAATAAAATTTAGAAAATACTTTGATAATTCATTTTTAATCTACTTTAATCAATTAATAAATTGCATAATTTTAATATTTTTAGGAGTATATATGTGCATGGTCCCCAATTTCTTTTTTACAAAGCAATGTATGATAGTGGCTATTCAGCATGTTCATTGATATAGAAGCAAATTTTCTAAATTATTTAAAAAGGACAGAATTTAGTGGCAAAGAAATTACATAAATAATAATTTTGATTTGTTGATATAAGACTTATCACATACCTGAGTTTTACTTTTGATTAATTCAAATGAGATACTCTCAATTTTGATACAAACGGAAGAGCTTTATAATTCATTTATATTGACAAATTGTAAGTTAAATTGTAGTTTTGCGGATGAAAAAGAAATCAACATGGGCATGAACGGACGATTACATTTTGTCAAAATGGATGAAAAAGTTTTTGTTTTGAAAATAAAAAGAAAATGTCTTGAGTGAAATTAAAGGTCATTACATATAGTAAATCAGGATAGAAACTGAACACTGCAGCATGTGCAATATAAGACATGCATTTACTGTAAAAAAGAATATATCACTCAATTTATTTCATATATAATTTAATTTTGTTTGTATTCTAGCCTCTGATTGGTTAATATC